TGTACCAGGGGTTGAACTCAGGACCTTGCATTTGCGAGGCAGGAGCACTGAGCTATATCCCCGACCCTAAGTGTCTTTTTTTAAATTTTGAAAAGCAAAAGACATAAATGGACAGATCAGAAAAGAATATGCAACTTCCCATGCAAAACTGCAACAGATATTATATTATATTTTATTTTAATTTGAAGGGGGTTTGATTTCTTTTTTTTAAGCTCCCAAGGAATGATGGGGGAGGAGGGTAGAAAAGTATGGGCGCTATTCTTTCTGCCTATCTATAGACAGAGACATTTGTTTTGAAAATAACGAAAGTTACCTAGAGCTTTGGGAACCTTTATAAAGGTATCAGGGTAGCAGGGGTTGTCCTTGGGAATCCTCCATCATCAGCAGGCTCTTACCATCCATGACCCTTGGTCAGAACCTCACGCTTCACTCTGGAGTGCTGTGGGAATGCACTGAGCAACATTACTGTTTTCAAAGACTGTAAAGGAGGACACGATTTGTGTTGGAAGAGAAAAATTCACTTCTTGGGATCATTTTAAGTGATCTGAGAAGGAGGTGGCTAAAGTATTCTTCAGTTGAAACATTAATTGGGGTTAAGAGCACACAAACAAAATGACCTGCAGCATTTAAAAAGGGCCATCTGTCTAGGCAGTGGGTTCAAAGTGTGGGGTGGGGAACTGGCCCCGCAGAGGACTGGAAGGACAAGACACTCTCTGAAAGGAAGGTTAGAAGACTTAAGCTTCCGCTTATTCATGGGAGCTTCAGTAAGCCATAGCAGGATGAGTAAATTCACAGACAGTGTTATGGGAGACCTGAAGGGGTGACACCCTGATACTTAGTCCTGTCAGCTTCTAAATTCTCATCCTGAACTTGTCACCCTTCCCCCACCCCATACCACCAACAGGGGTTTCCTAGGAGACAGGTGCTAATGAATTTCAGTACAACACGGTGCATTCCAGCTTCCCCAGGTATAAGCCCGGACACTTCTCTTCAGCTATTTCATGGAGACTGAGGATAAAACACAGTAAGAAACAAAACTAAAAGGCTGGCACTAAATGCAGTCAATCAGAAGAATAATATAACATTTTCAGGACAATTGGAAAGGTTCCAGGTTGACAATCTGACAAGATCTTTTATGTCTTATTTCTTCTATTTTTAGAAGCAAAAAAGGCCTAGAATGCCCATGAAAGTGTTTTACGCAATAAACAGGAGGTAAGATATACACAATTTGGTTGTTTCATTGGGATGTTAAAGATGGTAAATGACTACATAAATTTTTGCCTTTTCAGGGTAGGATCAGTACAGGGATTATAACTAAATTTCTAGAAAGCAAAGTAAGTGTTTTTGGAAAATACTCTACTATTGTATATTATGAAAGTATTTTAAGCCTTTTTAAAAGATTAAGAATGGGAAGCTACTTTCAAAATAAAATGAAGTTCTCTTTTAATATATATTATTTCAATTCAAGCTATCCTTTCTTTAAGAATAACACATCATTTTAGGAAAAATATGAAAATTGAGCGATATGAGCACATGATATGCTTGATCTAGTTGGTTAAAATATTTCAATGAAGGTTCTAAATTCAAAGAAATTTAGAAACATGCTGTCTCCATAGCAGCAGATAAAGAGTAAAACCAAAAAAGATTTTATTGATTTTCAACAAGGCTTAGGGACTTGTTCTCCTTTTTAGTAGTGATTTTTGCTTTTTTTTTTTTTT